CCCCCCCCCCCCCCTCAATCCCCCTCCCGCCTACCTAATTCTATTTTCATCAAACGTCTCTGTAGGCTTGGCGGGAGTCGCATGGGGATCTGCTTCATCTGCTTGGAGCAGTGCGATATGGAACAACCTGATCAGTAGAAATGGAAGACTATTCCCTAGGTTGTTTCCGTACTCTGCAGTTTCTTTGTGAAGTGGAAGGGTAACATGAAGGGTAAGAAAGCTCAAGTAGTGTCGAGGGTAGAGTGATGGTGACTGGGTGATGTTGTGGATGCGCCAGAGGTGTGAGGGTGTGTGCAGCCGCAGTAAGTAGGTATGCGCCCTCATTGGTATGCACTAGGTAAGTTAACCCTTAGTCTCCAGTTTTCAAACTCATTTGCACGGTTCAGAGGGAGCCCATCAGTCAAGAACCATCAGCACAAACAAACCCTGCTCATCATTCTTCAGTAAATAAACTTTTTAGCAACCAAGATATCGGCCTAATGCAAGATGATCCTCATTTTCAATCGTCATCATTACAGGTGTGTGTGGTGGACATGCTTGCGTTGTTGTCCCTTCCATTCCTTTTGGGTGCTCGTCTTATGATTGCGACAAATCTCACCACATACATCGAGCCGTCCCTTCACGCAGCATCCCGCTTGGTCTCCACAAGCGGCTTCATGAACGAGCTGAAATGTTCGATTATTGCTCGTGAATCGGTTAGTCCTTGACACTCCTCTTGCTCTTTACCAGTTTTCTCAGTTATCCGATTTTCAGCTTCCACTGTGCAGTGTCGTTCTGGAACGTTCCATCTTCCCCGTACTCATCCTCAAGTATCTGATTGTACTGTGTGTACTGACAGCAGCCTACATCATGCTTGCCTACCTTATCGAGTACTGTATTCGACACTGGTTCCCACCATCTGATCGTGATGAGGTGGTGCAGCGTGCTCGTATTTTGGTTGAAACCGCTTGAGAGCACACTTGCGTCACCTCTTCCTCCTTCCTTAGCTTTATCCTTTCTTCGCTGGTACACCATTAGTTATTTAATTTCCGACTTTGGCGCATAGCGCGGCAATATGAGTGCAATCTCTGTTCCTCCTATATCTGTTCGGATATTTCAAGCTATTTCCTCCCAATCATTACCGACAGATCGTTCCCAATTTCTGTTACACCGCTTGGCGGTATATTTTCCTCCTTCCTTTTCACCCTTTACCCGGCCTAGCTATCTTATTCATTCATTTCTGCAGAGCAGTTTTACATCCGTCTTTCATTCAACTCTTCATCGAACTATGTCTGATGGATCCAGGGAATGAAAGAAAACTTCGATATCGATAGTCTCACTACTTCTCTTTGAACCTGAAGCCCTTATGTACGAGTATGTGAACAAACACGTGTGACCACCGCTTCTGATATTTACCGCTATCCGCTTCTGCTCCGAGCTGTTCAGCTATGAATGCGATGGGCGATATACTTTCCCCTCTTTATGGACAATCAACAAACAAGACCGCTTCTTTCCATCTGTTATGAGGTTGGCTAAGTGTTAGTGTATACGATTCCTGTTCAGTTGTTTTTTATCATTTACTTTATGTGATCTAAGCCTCTTTCGCTCTCAGACGACATTTCCAGCATTTCGTCATCTAATTGTTATTTATTCTTGCCCACTTGTGGGTCCTTTCTAATTATTATCTTATAAGCTTATTGGAATTTCGCGTGTTCTTGTCTATGGTAACATCCTTACCTTGTCGCTCCGGTAGTATTGTGAGCTCTTGGCCTTTCACACAGCTCTTTATACAGCAGTGTATAGCCGCCATACATTCTAGTCTCTCTCCATTCAATCGTCCAACGTTCGCAGAACATTCTATGCGTGTAAATATATGCATTCATTTAATTAAACAAATGAAGTGATTCTGGAGGAAAACTGTTGACCTTTTCGAGCCTCTTGGGCAGAAGCAGTATTTCCGTGGTTAAGAGAACTCAAAAATGAAAATAAATGGAGATGGGTTGTGGCACGCTGGAAGAAGAAGTAGTGTGCAAAGAAGATTAAAACCTGGGAGAGGAATTGGGGAAAGAGATGGGAACTCATCGACAAAGTCTCGAGCTCATTATTGTCTGTCGATGAAGGCGATACTCCAGTTTGAGATGAATAATGTAAGTGATAATACAGGCTAGAACAATAGCGCGATGGGCTGGACGAGAATGTGACGACAAAAGTTGCATAGTAGGGGTCATTGGACGAGCTGTCTAAATGTGTGAGCCACTGCGTGCAGCTGGCTACAGCAGGCTGCCTGCGTGCAGTGTGCGCTTCATGGTACTAATGGTGCAAGCTAGGCTGCTTACAGAACGCATGGAGAACTCGTCCGCCTTGGTGTATACGTCTGTTAAGCGGGTTTTGGGGCTTTTTAGCGTCGGGTCAGCAGGTTCACAACAAATGAGGGGCTGTGGGAGATATGGAACCGAAGCTATCTAGGAATGTAATTAGGCTATCCTTGTCCTCAGAAAGTTTATTGAAATAATCTAGGAATATCTTGATAAAGAATGAAATTTTTGGACATCAACTGATCGCGTCTGAAGGATGCGCTCCATCATTCGACTTCCATTCAAAATCGCAGTGCCTGTTGAATGTGTATGTGGCCGATAAAAGTGGTAGCATACTGCGGATACGGTAACTTGCAGTGGCCAGCCAATGTACAAGTCAGTGATTTTATCCTCCCAAACGGCTCTACTATCAGTCTATCGACGCCGTAGGGAAGGAAAGCCTAGTAGGCCGAGGCGGGTTATAATCCGGTGACCGTGCGTGTGAGATTGTGCGTTTTTTGCCACTACATCTCCGATTATATCTTGTTAGTTCTGGGGAACGGTTTTCAAACATGATTTATATGGAATATGTTAGCAAGCAGCTCTGCGAGTATACGCAAGTGTTGGAGTCGTCTAGTGTGTGGTACAGTTGGAACGAAATAGTCGCGTCGCGGCGAGAAAGACGCCGCGCGAGAAGGAATGTGACAGAATGCAGCAGCAAGTAAAAAATTCAGGAACGAAAGAACAAACAGTAGAATCATGCCATAAGTAATAATCGCACAGCGATTAAGCTCTATGGAGAAGACTAGGACCGTAATCACGAGGCAAATGGTCCGCGACAGCCGCGTGCGGCGGATCAATTACACAAAACCGTTCCGACTGCCCGTCTCCCGAGTCATCTAATATAGAAGGTCATCCATATAACTTGTTACGAGCACTTCAGATCAGTCAAATGCCAAAAATTTACTGTGCGAACAGGAGATAGATTATCTCTTTGTCATTTATTCGTAAATGATACAAGACAATTGCAAAAGAAGACGCGTGAAAGCTTTTGCTTAAATCTAAATATGCCTGAGAAACTAACATGAAGAATGGTGGAAAAAGTTACACCAGAGATCACTGAAGTAATCATATAATTCAAGTTAGTTTCAATTCAAGTTAGGCTTTTCGAATTCATGTAACAATATCAAGAGATATTGTTGATTGCGTCCGTGGTCCATGAGTAGCGGTGGCCAGGCGATTCCTCCCGGACAAGTCTGGTACCGATTAATCGACCCAGAAGGGACGGAAGGCTTGGCTGATCTATCAAGAGATACGAGTACAATCAAGTGTCGGAGTCACCTAACATAAAAGGTACTCGATCTTATCATTGTACTTAGTTTCCAGCACCTTTAGGTTGGAAATCTCAAGAGCACTTCAACTGAAAGGATAAAGGCTAACGTTGTTGGCATGTGAATTCATTGACTATTAAATTAAACCATTTTGGATAAAGGCTTACATTACTCCTAACATTCATCTCAACATTCTCAAGAGTCAACATTCCATGCATTTGAATTCCACGATGTCGGCCTCCGACAGCTGCAGCCGTTGCAAGCTAACTAGCTAAGAAGAGTGGTAGGCAACCCTTGTTAGAAGTTCTAAGTGGCCACGTTACTCCTCTCAGCTCTATTCGCTAATCGTCTGGATGCTTTTGCCCCTCAAATGATAATCGCCTGAGTTTAAGGCGTTCTTCAGGAATATTCTTCAGTATTCTTCTGGAAATGCGAGTTATAACCAGCCCCTAATGAGGTTGAAATCAAAGCTGCACCCAAAAAAATCTTGGACTCTCTATTGTGCCCTAAAACTCACTCAGTACTTTTGCCGAGATCACTACACTGAAGCTGGGTGCTTCGCCATGATTGGCAACAGATCCCCTGTTGCTCTACCACTGTTGATTTATAAGTAGCTGAGCTCACTTGCAGGATTTTGCACGTGATTCCCTCACTAAGAGAACTCTGGTGTCAAAAAAGGTTTTCTTTTCAAGCTGAATCCCTTTCTTAAACAAAACAGAATGATGGCAACAGCAGCTGTCAACCTGTGAATCTGCTGAAAGCCATATACTAGACGAGGGCTCGATCAGAGTTTCAATAAATTGAGTCGCTTGGCTGATACGCCCTCCTTTGTATTCCTTCATTCGTAAGGCTTTTTGAACTTTCTGTCACATCCAAGTAGTAAAGTCCTAGCGCTTCGGTAGGGTTCTACTATCATCTGAACTGAATCGAGAACTTGCTCAGACATCATTCGGGCAACTTCTGCAAACCTTTACTCGATGGTTACCACTTGTCGTCGTAATAGCTGCAGTAATGGGCACTCACCAGGGGAGTCTTTTAAGTTTCCATGGAACTTTGAATGGAGACCTGGCTACATCGATCAAGTTTGTAATGTTGTTTATGGATACAGAAATCACTGAATGAGCTTTTCACGACGAATGGCCCTTAAAATTTGCCTGAGAACAATAACGAAAACGAAATACACTGCTGACCGAATAACACTACTAGTCGCCGTGGTGCAGAGGTACTGCTTTCCCCTGTAAGCCTAGGCTGAGGGTTTGCAAGTTTTCGGGTTTGGCTCGGATTTCAATTTATTCCAAGCAAATTTTAGGGCTCATAACTTCTTGGGGAAGTCTTTTCTCATTAAAATATAGCTGGACAACGTTTTTTTTGTCTTATCGACATCGGCAAAATAAGTTCGCCCTTAGTGCAGTTGAATCTCATAGTAAAAGTCAAATCGAGGAAGTAGGAGCAAGATTCGGCAACGTACGCTGAGTACCCCTTGCGTGCCAAATAGCCACTCATCAGAAAAATTCCCAATTTCAATATTGCTGTGGGCGGAGGTGGTGTAGTGGCAAGTGGCGTACTATCTCACACGTACGGTCGGAGCGTCGAATCCCGGATCGACACCCGCTTAAGCCAACCAAGCTTTCCATCCCTTTGGGATCGGTAACTTGGTACCAGACTTGTCTGGAGGATAAAAGCACTGACTGGCCACCGTAAGTCATTGTATAGGCCACATACGCATTCATTACGCCACCACGATTCTGAATGAAAGTCGAATGCGGGGACGCATCCCTCAGACGGGATTGATTAACGACGAAAAAACTTTAGAGATTAAGTGTTTGAAAAATCTATACATCTACTTAAGACCTCTTGAGTAGTAAGAGCAATGCTAGTTTTCAAAAGAAGAGCTCATGTTGTGATTATGACTGTGATGCTTAGAAAAAGCCTCACCGAATATTTGCAGAGTGGTGAAGCCATCTTTATCTGTCTCTCCGATATTTATACGTGCACCAGTCACAAGTCTGATATTTTCTATTTTGGTCCCTTTTCTACCTTAAATTTTGCAGTTTGAGAAAAAACGGAAAATGGACGATGATGAACTCTTCATCTTCAATCATATGGATTCTAGATCAATTAATAAACCAGAACTACTCTAGTGCTTTTCTTAGACGAAAACTAAAACTGATTTTGGATACGAATAATGGTAAACTACACCTATAAGCGGTCCAACATATCGCTTTGGTATCTTTGTTGTATGACAGAATGAACCACGAATGAGGACCAGCAATAATTCATAAATATCAATTTTCGCAGCTTCTACAGCGTACGGCATACCAGTGATCCGAACTTTCACGGAGTTGCC